AGGTTGGCAGACGCATGGGAATACAACATATAAAGTGTGAGAATCTCATTTTGAGCAATCTCAAACTGAGCTTTGTCTACAGTAGAGGAGACCCAAGCATTTGTTGCATTTACCTCCCTAGTCTTCTCATTGAGGGGCCCTTTGAGACCGCTCACGCGCAGCATAGCCTGCAAGCATCCAGACCAAAGAAACTCATCGAAAACCATTCGACAAAAATATGTATATTAACCAATTTATAAGAAGTTTTACTTTGCAAAGAAGTGCCAGAATGCCATCCAAGTCCAGGGTCCCGACCCCTCTAACGGCAGCCTTGTCCTAAGGATTAAGCGTCTTAAGCATCCGCCTGGCCATCTGGAGGACAGTTGGCCTCACTAGGGCATCTATCAATACAAATCTAGCTAAGTTAAGATTTTGAGCAAGGTTACATTTCATGAAGCGCATGGTAGAATGGTCGGATGACTTACCTCCTTCTCCCCCTTCTGCTTCGCTGCCGCCTGCTGTGCCACCAGTAGTGGTGAGTGGCTGTTTGCAACTCTTCGAAACTCGTTGTTGAGTGTTCGGCTTTGTAGGAGTCTGAGTAGGGGAGGAGGCGCCCGTTCCCTTTTCGCAAGCTTTGTACCGACGTGTTTCCTTCGACTATGGGAAACATCACAAGCCGACTGCTTGCACAGTTTGGGATCCGGCTGAGAAGAGGGGGCAGACTTTGATGAGCCACTCTAAAAATAATTCAAAGTATGAGTCATAGAAACAGAATATGCTAAGCATTTCATTGAAAGAAACTTTGCCGGCTCGTTACCTTAGGAGTGCCGCCTGGCGACTGCTCATCCGCCTGCTTCAGGTTAGAGCGGTAGAAGGCGGCTGAGAAGGCTGGCTTTTTGTGAGCACGGAGTTTGTCCATTGCCTTGTCTGCAACAAACAACAAAGAGTTAGCAAAGAAAAAAATAAACAAAGCAAGCAAATTTAATAAAAATCATGCGGCCAGCTACCTCTCGGCATCTCAGTACTAAAGCCACAGGCGGCCAAGTACGTCCTGTCCGAGAGCCACTCGAATCAGGGAATATAGCTTTGGGGGTGACTTCCTTAACCCCCATCTCGCTTTTTGTCTGGACGGCCACAGTAAAGAGGCCCCGGTAAAAAATCTCCTCTTGTGCCCGCCTAGGAACAGGCGGAAGGGCCTTCTTCCCAGCCAAGAGGCGTGGATACTGGGTCCCACGGTTGTACTGCTTGTTCCTTTGGGCGTTTGGGGAAGAGACTATGTAAAATTTGGTCCTCCAGTCCTTCCATTTGTTCTCTTCCCCCAGCGTCATCATGTACCGGTTGTGGCTGGTCAATGTAAACCAGCCAATCTCGCTTAGATTTGGGGTCCTTCTCAGATAATGCATGTGAGCAAACGCCTCGAAGCTAGGATCCACCTCCAGCATCTCACAGGCGGTAACGTAGCCCAAAATATTAACCCAAGAGTCGGGGGCTAGTTACTAGATACCAAGCTGGTACCCGTCCAAAATCTTCTCGACAACCGGATGGAGAGGGAGGCGAAGTCCTGCCTGGATGGCTGCCTCAAAGCAGCTAAGGTACTGGTCACCATAGACGGCCATTTCAGGCCAGGTGACCGTGTCAATAGCATCCGACACAGACAGAATAAAACCATGTCCCATGACATGGTCAGAAAAAAATTTGGGAAGATCGTACTTCATGATCTTCCGCCTGCCTTCTAGGACGTGCAGATAATAAGGCGCACGTTCATGCCGCCTGGAAGCAGACGACTCCTCCCAGCCCTCTCCCTTCTAAACGGAGAGGGACTCTCTGGTGGCTTTAAGGTTCGACTACGCCTCCTTCGTGTCGAGGGGTACGTAGTTGGAAGATGATGACGCAGAGTCATCATCAGAGTTCTCTTCGGGGTCGGGGGCCTGCTGGCTGGTGCTAGTAGTTTCCTCCCCAGCTCATCACCCGGCACCGATCCACTCGGCCCAGGGTTCTCATATTCGTCATTGCACTCCTCCAAAAATGAGTCATTTGGAGTGTTGACGGTGCTAGGGGATTCCCTACTTATCTTAGAGACAGGAGCCCTAATGGAGCTGTCAGAGAAGACAGTGTCACTGTCCGAATGGTACCAAGAACCATCCGTCCTATATCTCCTTGTCGTTTTCTTTGTTCTGGCCATCGTGTCCTGCAAAGGCATAGACACTGTCGGATTTGGAGATGTACTTAAAGGAATGTTCTCGAACGAGCATTCGACACTCCTAGTTCTTGATTCAGCCGTCCTCGGTGACCGGCTGATCGCTAATCTAGGTCGTGCTGGGTGCGTTTGGGAAAATATTTTTAATAAAGAAAAATGCAAAGAAATAAGTAAAGCAGAGATCAGGTGGTTACCTTAGAAGAAGGTAACGAGAGTCGTCTGTTTTGGGCGTTTGGTTGAGCAGGCGAACTAAGGGAACCGACTGTCGGATGCTCTGGAAGTCAAAGTCTTAGAAAGTAAGAGATTCAAGATTCTCCTAAAGATTCACGCAAGTGTGAATCCAAGGAGAATTCAACCTTTTATTTATAGAGGGGGTGAAAACCTAAGGTGAACACCCTAGATTCCCCAAAATAGTAAAAAGTAAATACTCGGCCAATAAGAGGCCGACACTTGTCACAGGCGTCATGTGCCAAGCACGTGACCCCTGTGAGGGGAAAATGTTTTGGATATTTTATGCCCGGCCAAGTGGCCCAACCAGAGCATGACATGTGTCACTTGAAGGGGTGCCACCTTGGACCTTCTAGATGGTGACACGTGTCAGGCAGATACTGCCTTAATTTGGGGTATTTGATGATCCGAAATTGACCAATAAGAGAGCAACACGTCTTGCCCTAAGAGACGCCCAAATGGCTTCTCTGGATGAGCGACACGTGTCCCTCAGATATCGCTTGTTTGCAGGTACAAGCGACCTATTTAGGCTTTCATTAGATTCCCTTGTGGAAAAAAAGATCAAGAGAAGACGACATTTGTCACTGATTAGGTGTTATTCTGTTATAATGTGATGCCTTTTGGTTTGAAGAATGCGAGTGCTACCTTCCAACGCATAATTAATACAATCTTCATTAATAAAATTGGGAGGATTATAGAGGCATACATTGACGATATGATTGTCAAATCCAAACAACAGGTGGATCACCTTGTTGACTTCCAAGAAAAATTCGCCACACTTAGGAAGCACAAGGTCATGCTTAATCCTAAAAAGTGTGTCTTTGGTGTTGAGTCTTGGAAGTTTCTTGGATTCCTTATTGAACAAAGTGGGATAGAGGCCAACCTTGAAAAAATACAAGCAATAATCAACATGCAGTCGCCCCGTACTATAAAGGAAGTAATCAACCGGTTGTTTAGCAGCCTTGGGAAGCTTTCTCAGTCGGTCAGGCGACAAGTGCATCTACTTCTTCCTAGCGACTAGGAAGAAGACTAGATTTGAATGGGGGGATGATTGGCTGAGGTAGCCTTCCAAAAGCTAAAAACTCATCTTCACTCTTTGCCAAGGTTGGTCAGCCCCTTGCCCAAAGAGGAACTTTATATGTATCTGGTTGTTTTAGATCATGCCCTTAGAGTCGTTCTCTTATCTGATAGAGACGGCATCCAGCTCCCGGTTTACATCATTAGCCACGTTCTTAGGAACGCAGAACTTCGTTACACCTGCTCTGACTCCCAATTAGTCGTTAGCCAGTACAATGGTGTTTATGAGGCTAACCATCCGGCTATGATCAAATACTTACAGGCTTCAAGCTTTGAGACGAGACAAGGAGAGCTATTCAAAGCAGGCTTTCTAAAGCCTCTTTCGAAGTGTGTTACCCTAGAAGGGGCAAGAAGTTCTTTATGAATTGCATGTCGGATACAGTGCCTCTCATATAGGCGGCAAATTCTTAGCTGTCAGGGCCAGGTGGCATTACTTTTAGCTTACCCTTGAGGCGGATGCTATGGAGATGGTTAAAAATGCGACAAGTGTAAAAAATTTGGCAAGCTAATCCATCGTTCGGCCACTGACCTGATAGTAATCCATAGTCCAGGCTCGTTTTCTAAATGGGCAATAGACATCCAGGGCCCATATACGGCTGCTCGAGGCTGTGGACTACTTTGCCAAATGGGTAGAGGTAGAGGCGGTCAAAAACATCAAGACAAAGGACGTCATTTCCTTCATCTTGAAGAGTATCATCACCCGTTTTAGGGTGCTTATGTCTATGGTTTTGACAATGGTCCTCAGTTTGAGACTCCTTAATTAAAGACTTGGTTAGGAGATTAGGTGCCCCCTAACTCTCTCACAACATGGGACCAAGTTACTATGGCGTTCTTGAGGAGGTTCTACAATCATAGGAACACTGTCGAAGCTTGGTATTTGATTCAAGGTTTTCACCAAAAGGGTGGTGAGTCTGTAAGTGCGGCTTGGGAACAATACAAAGAACTCTAACGCCAATGTTTACACCATGGGATACCCAAGTACCAACTCATTCACAATTTCTATGGAGGCCTCATACCTCAAGGAAGAACAAGCCTAGACGCCGCGGCCGGCGATCCAATCATGACTAAAGGAGAAGATGAAGTGGAATGTATCATAGAGGATACCGCTAAGCACTATGAAGATTGGTATAAAGGAGAAAGAGATGCTACTACTAGTAAAGGTGTCTATGCATTGGAGCAAGCCAACGCCATCAACAATCTCTCTACTCAAATCTCCAAAACGACCAAGCAAATGGATGACTTGATGAAAGAAAAGTCCAATTCTCATGGTAATATATCCCCTTCAACCAAGGGAGGCAATGGATGAACGCCCCTTCTTCTTCTTTTAATTCAAAGCCTCATGGATGTGTGTTTTGTGCTAATTGTGGAACCTATGATCATGATACCTCCCAATGTGTATATTCTTGTGAAGTTCAACCCCCTCCCGAAGAACATGATGATAATGTGGAAGATGTTAATGCTATGACTTTTGCTCCTCAAATGAGGAATATAAAGAACATGAGGCCAAACTCCAATTAAAATGGGGAATTGGAATCAAAGTGGAAACCGTGGTTGGAACCAAAGTGGTGGTGGTTATGATGACCAATATCATGGTGGGGGAGGCCCTTCCAATTTCAATGGAAGAGGCTACTCTAACCAAAGAGGGTATGGTAATCAAAACCAACAACCTAACTCCCGATACTACGACCATCAAAATCAAAATTTTACTGATCAAAGTAACATGGGAAGTAATCAGCAAAGTAATGTTCCTAACCAAGGCACCGGAGGCAATAGGGGTCAATATGTATCTAACTATTCCCAAACTATTAGGCCTCCGGGTTTCCATCAACCCCAACTTCAATTCCCCCACCTCAACAACCTCTTCAACTTGAAGCTCTTCCAAATGATCTCGTGATGCTAAACTAGATGCCTTATTGAAATTGCGTGAGGAGGATCAAAGGAGGCATGAAGAGGAACTAAAACGAACAAATGCTCATATGAAAATGCTTGAAACTCAAATAGCTCAACTTGCTTCTAACTCATCCCCTTCTTCTTCTTCTTCCACCATCCCAAGTAAAGGAGTCAACCCAAAACTTTTGTATGCCGTGACAACTAGGAGTGGGAAGGTAGTGGGGAGTGACCCTTTAGTGGAGGAAGAGCCTCAAGAATAAGTGGAATTAGAGAATGTCGGTGAGAGATCCAATGAGCCATTGAGTGTTGAGAAAGAAGAGGATGTTAAGGTTCCAAAGAAGAAGGAAGCTATCCCCTTGCCCCTAAATCGCCAACCTAGAGAGGAAAAGCTACCCTTTCCACAACGATTTGTGAGAGCTAAGCTTGATGCCCAATATGGGAAGTTTTTGGATGTGATAAAGAATTTGCATGTTTGTCTTCCCTTTATTGATGCTATGAAACAAATTCCCCACTATTCCAAATTCTTGAAGGAACTTTTGAGTGGGAGAAGGGAGTGTGAAACGGTGAGCTTGACCGCCAATTGTAGTGCCATTCTTTCCAATAAGCTTCCTACAAAGTTGAATGATCCGGGTAGTTTCTCTATCCCTTGTTCCATTAATGGTGTCGAGTTTGACAAGGCATTATGTTATTTAGGAGCAAGCGTGAGTCCTATGACCTATTCTTTCTACCAAAAGCTTAGTATAGGAACCCTTTCACCCACAAATGTTACTCTCCAACTAGCGGACCGTTCTACCAAGTTTCCCATGGGTAAAATTGAGGACATTTCCCGTGGACTTTTATGTGCTAGAGATGGATGAGGATGAGAGGATTCCTATAATTTTTGTTAGGCCATTTCTAGCTACTTCTAGAGCAATTATCGATGTGAAAGAGAGTAAGATGACCCTAAAAATTGATAAAGATTAAATTGAGTTTGATTTGAATAGTGTCATGCAACAACCTTCCTCAAGTAGTGAATGTTTAGAGTTGATGTTTAGGGTAAAAATTACCCTAGACAGGTGTCCCAATAAGTGAAGGCCACGTGTCAAGACCAGGCTGACCCAAGTGGCCCCCTAGCCATCTGACACGTGACTCCTTCAGATAGATTCTAAAGTGGCAGCCTTCAAGGGCCCAAATCCCAAGAAAATGCTGTAATTTGTCGTAGCCCACTAAAATCTAGGTCAAGTGACCTAGATAGGGGCACTCCTACCAATGACCCTATAAATAGGGAAATATTTCCCCATTTTGGGGGACACATTCAATAATTTATTACACCTACTTTTTCTCTCATAAGAGAAACACCTAACCTTGGAATCCAAGCAGATCCCCACCTAAATTTCTCCACTCTTTATTCTCTTTCAAGTTACTAACTTGATCTTTGGAGGCGGGGATCCACCACCCGAAGTCTCTGTTGTTTTTGCAGTTACAGCTCAGCCGGGCCAAACATTGTAACGTAACTCTCCTGAGGGACAAAAACACCAAAAACATTTGGCGCCGTCTGTAGGGAGAGTACCTCAAGATGGTTCAAAAGTTTGTACCACCTCATGAGCGTCCAGTAAACGAACCGGAAATATTTACTAACCAAGAGGATGACGATCCTTAGTTCGAAACTTATGTAGCTAGTGATGGCTCTCTGATAACCAAGCGCATCCGGGCCAGAGACACTCTAGAGTGGGGTGCCAGCCAGGCGGGTACAAACCGACCCCCCTGGACAACTAGAAGGGGAAACCCATATGACCAGTGGATCCGCTCTTGTTACTCGAGACAAACTCATGAAATTCATGAATAGTTTCAAGGGTGAAATTAAGGATCCGATCACCAAGATCCGGGCTGGCTCAAGCAGGGGTCAGTCGGCAAGGAAGATTCCTCTAGAGAAGGGGAAGTCAGTCAGAGATAGGCAGCCAACTCTGCATCCAAACGAGAAGGCAGCCGAGACCATTGATTGGTCCAAGATTCTTCTGCCTAAGAGGAACACAAACACTACCCGCTGGACTGAACAGCCGGTGGGAAACAAAAAATCAACTCTTGATGCCCGGGAGGCAATCACCCGCAAGAGGAATCAATAGTTGTCTTAGTCACCTTCTACATCAAGCTTCCCAGACAGCTTTAAGAATACATCTACAAGGAATGTGCAATCCTTGCATAAGAGCCATACAGGCGGTAATACCGTCCATTCTGGCTCTCAGATGATTGGGAATGCAATATATGTACCACCTCTGGTCTACTGTCCGTATTCTCCTCATTTCATGCAGCCGGCCCTCTTCGGAGGTTAGGCGGCATACAACAATGTCAAGCCACTAGACTGGCAGCTTCGTCTTCTCCGCCTAGGTGAAGAACCTTCTGCGTTCACCTGGGAAATAACCGAGGCGGCATAGCCGGCCATGGTTAAAAATGTGTTGGTAGGTACCTATGACGGTACCTCCAAGCCGGAAAATCACCTCATGGCTTACGCCAACCTCATGTATTTATAGGGGTTGGATGATGCCACTTGGTGTCGATGCTTTCCGGCTACATTGAAGGGCATCGCCAAACAATGGTATGGCAACTTGCCAGCCGACTCCATCGATAGTTTCAAGAAGCTTGCCTTCTTGTTTACTTCCAACTTCTTAATGAACATCCCTACGAAGAAAAAAAGTCATGACTTGAGCACCATTAAGCAGGGAGAGAGAGAAGGATTGCGCTCCTACGTTAGGCGGTTCAATCTTATCAAAATTCAGATTTAAGGACTGTCTGACCAGGTAGCTTTTAAAGACTTCTTTAAGGGTCAGAGAGACGGGTTGACCTTTAAGTTTGACCTTGTCAAAAAAGGGGCTTTTACTTTGCAGCCGACCGTGAGGAAGGCGGAAAGCTAAATTCAAGCAACCGACCTCTGCTCGCCTGGTAGCCAGTCGGACTCCAAGAATTCTGATAAGCAAAAAGACAGTCGGCTTGCTCAGCCGGCCAAGAAAAAAGATGAGAGTCAAAAAGAGAAAAAAAGTCTGGGCGGTGAGTGATTCTCACAAGCCGTCCCAGAAGAAAAAGAAATAATTTAAATCGTACGTCCCCAGGTACAAGTTTAACAAGGACTGCAACTCCATCCTCATGGAGATCAAGGACCGGCTGTCTTTAGAGAAGCCGAATCCAATGAAAAATTCCATTCAATCAAGGAACAAAAATAAATTCTACCAATACCATGAGGAAGTTGGCCATGACACCAACGACTACTTCAGCCTTCAACGGGAGTTGGACCGTCTGGCCGACAAAGGGATGTTAAAGTCCTACATTTCTAAGTCGAAATGGACTAATAAGAAGAACCCTGGGCAGTCATCTAAGACACCCCAGTCTGCTAGTAGCTCGGACACCGATAAGGAGCTGGTCTACACCATAGAAGGCGGGTTCTCATGCGGTGACCCTACCATCCGGGGCACCAAGAGCCATCTTCAAAAAGATGGACAATGATGATGATGATGATCAGGCAGCAGCTAGATTCTCCTTCCCAGACCTTCTGATCACTGAGAAGAATAAAGGCACTGTCCGTCGTTCGCATGATGATCCGGTTGTCATTGAATGTAAGGTCGCCAACCAGCTGGTTGCTCGAATCCTTATTGACACCGGCAGCTCGTCGGACATCATCAGTCTCCGGTGCTTGCAAAAGCAGAAATACGACCTCAGCAGCATGCATCCGGTTACCCACCCCTTGGTTGGTTTTGGGGGTGGGATGGTTTACCTAGTCGATAGGATTGACTTACCTATCCAGTTGGGTGAAAAAGGAGAAGGACGACACCTGGTCGTCAAATTCTTGGTCGTTGAGGAATTAACCGCCTATAACATTAGGTTGTCCAACCCTCAACGAAGCCAATGCTGTAATCATCATTTCTCTCATGCTCATTAAGTATGAGAAGGATGATGGCTCTATTGGTTTCTTGAATGGGGATCAAAAGACGGCCCAGGAGTGCTACCTCCCAGCCGTCAAGGATATTGTGGCCCCAAACGGCCAAGGGCAGGAACCATTAGACCTAGACAATGTCAAGGACGCCGCCCCAACCCCACCGGCAGCCGGGAAGAAAAGAAAGGCATCGTAGCTGGTGGAGGTGAAGAAAGAGAAAAAATAGCAATCACTCATCGGGGAACGGTCAGATGAGATCCGTCCCCAACCGGCTGGAGAACATATTGATATACCTCTGGACGACAGCCGTCCAGAGCTTACTGTTAAGGTTGGGACGGCTACTTATGCTAAGCTAGATGTAGACCTGCACCAATTGCTAAAAGAATTTAAAGACATTTTGGCCATTGAAGTGGAAGAGATGTCAGGCGTTAGCCCGGATCTTGCTGTCCACAAAGTTGCGTGGATCAAAAAAAGAAGCCCATCCGGCAAAATAAAAGAAATCACGACGAGGAAAGAAGTCAGGCGCAGCTGCCGAAGTAAAAAACTGCTAGATGCTGGGTTCATTCGGCCATGCAATTTCCCCGACTAGGTGGCGAATGTTGTGCTTGTAAAGAAGTCGAATGGTACCTGGCGTATGCGTGTTGATTACACAGACCTCAACAAGGCATGTCCAAAGGACAATTATCCGCTTCCAAAGATCGACAATCTGGTCGATTCTATAGCCGGGCGTGCCTTGATGAGTTTTATGGATGCCTACTTCGGCTTCCATCAGATACCCCTATGGAAAAAAGATCAAGAGAAGACGGTCTTCGTCACTGATCATGGGTTATTCTGTTACACTGTGATGCCGTTTGGCTTGAAAAATGCGCCAGCTACATTCCAACGGATGATTAATACGGTCTTCATTAATCAAATTGGGAGGAATGTGGAGGCATACATTTTTGACATGATAGTCAAATCCATGAAGCAGGTGGATCACCTTGCTGATCTCCGAGAAACCTTCACCACACTCAGGCGGCATAAGGTCATGTTAAATCCTAAGAAATGCGTCTTTAGTGTTGAGTCTGGGAAGTTTCTCGGATTCCTAATTGATCAAAGGGGGATAGAGGCTAACCTTGAGAAGATACAAGCCGTAATTGACATGAAGTCACCCCGCACTGTTAAGGAAGTACAAAGACTAACCGGTTGCCTGGCGGCATTGGGGAGGTTCCTCAGCCGGTCAGGTGACAAATGCCTTTACTTTTTCCAAGCAATCAGGAAGAAGACCAGATTTGAATAGGGAGATGATGTTGAGGCGGCTTTTCAAAAGCTGAAAGAGTGGTGAAGGATAATTAGGTCGTTGGACTAACTACCCTCAACCAAACAATATTTATAAACCTACACCTACACTAAACAAGTTTAGTGGTAAGTAGAGGGTCGAACCACGGAGACGACATAAACACTATCAACACCACCACCAATTAAGCTAGGTCAAAGAGATAGGATGGATAGAACAATAAACAAAATGAGATTAATATTAAGTTAAACTAACACCAAGGGAGAGGGTCAAACATGACAATGATCTTCAATAAAGTTAGGCAATGGAAATGAGTTTACATGCAAACCAAATATCTCATATAAGGCAATACCAACAATACCATCTAACCACCTATCGGGGTCAAAGGCTTTCCCAACTTAACACATGCTCATACTATCGTCATAAGCTGTGAAAGTTAAGGTTTTTGCATAGAATCGATCACCTAATGGATATCCCTAAGTTACACTATCGTCATAACTTAGTTCAATCCACCCAATTACAACATATGATTGGCCATTCACATGGAGTAATTAGTAAAACATGGTTACAAGGTGTATTTAATCACATATAACCAACATTTGTCTAGCCTAATACATTCAAGATTCACCACATGCTATCACCAATCCCTTAGTAAAGGGAATTACTCACTAATCATGAAC